CTACTACTACTACTACTGCTACTTCAGCTACCACTACTACTACTACTACTACGACGACGACGACGACGACGCCGCCTGCTACTGCTGGTGCTGCTGCTGCTGCTGCTGCTGCTGCTGCTGCCGCGGCTGCTACTGCAGCTGCTGCTGCTGCTGCTGCTGCTGCTGCTACTGCTACTGCTGCTACTGCTACTGTTACTGCTACTGCTACTAGTGCTGCTGCTGCTGCTGCTGCTACTGCTACTGCTACTGCTACTGCTACTGCTACTGCTACTGCTACTGCTCCTCCTGCTGCTGTTGCTACTAGTACCACTATCACTCTTGCCATAATACTGACATCAGGACTAGGAGGAACGAGCCGTCGGAGTTGGCGGTATGGCAGCCACTGACAGTACTAGCAACACTAAGCCGGGGTAAATAAGACTGATGGCCTTCAAAGTACTAGCAGCCCTGCTACTACAATGTCAAGCCCCGCCCGAAAATGCAGAGCTGGCAATCGCATGCAACCACTCCTCACAATGCCACACAGCAGCCGGCTGCGCAACGGGATGTGCGGGGCGCTCATTGTGACATCCCTCTGAGCCCATCAGTGGGGCACATGTCTTTTTGAGCTTAGGCGAGGTTTAAGTTCAGGGTTCCGTCCCGACGTCGTGTGGTCAATCTTGATGCCGTCTTGCAACAAGCTGCGCAGAGCCAAGCCCTATGCTAGGTACTAGTATGCTCCGGAAGAGGCCAGTCTATTGTTGGGAAAACTGCCACAGACTTGTAAGGTTCTAAGCAGTGGTTTGAAGGCATCAATGTGCCTGAACCATACATCTCCCTGTCTCGCAATCCCAAACACAAAATCATCAGCTACAAGGTTCAACCCTACATCCTGCTCCAAAGTACTGGCTCTCTATACACTCATGATCGGGCTGCCATCTTTCTCACGTCACTTTCCGCACCGCGGCAATTAGATGCTCACGGGACAAGATGCCACGGAAGTCACCGCCTAAGCTTGGGAGGGCGGGGCACTGAACTTGAGCTTCAAGGCTGTCAAGCCTATCAGGTTTGGGTTCAGTTCAGTGATGACCTTCAGGTTTGTGGCTGACTTTTGCTTCGGAGGCTTCGGAAGGGTGCAGGACACATTCGGGTGCAGAAACGGTCAAGCAGGACACGAAGGGGGAGTACATCTGTCTATCGGTGAGTCTAACTAAATGTCTATCTACCTGTCTATCAGTCTTTTTGTTGCTGCTACTGCACGGTGCGGCGCTACGGGTGTGTGGCAAATTGTATCGAAAGTGAGCTTGCTTGATGCTCCGCTGAGGGACACCCACAAGCACCGAACCCGAGACAGGAAAGCTGAAGGCTGAACACGCAAATCAGTCGCTGTGAGGCTGCATGTCCCTCTGTAGTCGAAACATCACACATCTACACAACAACGGCCTGGGACCCCTAAAGCCAACCTAAAGGAGTTGAAAGTCTGCTTGGCATTGGCAAGGCCACGTATGGAAGTTACGCAGGCAGCGCGCTCCCCTGCCTCGCAAACCGATTCAAAGGGCGTCGGCTTGGGAGTTGAGCCCTACACCATGTAGAAAGCAGCTAGACAAGCCACTATTCTTCCGCATGCCTTGGCAAAGAGGGCATAGAGCCGTGGTACCGGCATGTCCTCCCAAGGCTTTCATCCAGCGTAGTCTCGAAGACGATGACTTCTAAATGCAGGGATGGAAAGGGCTTGGCTGTCAATTGGGGCTGGGCCCTGGGCTTCTTTGGGACGAACTGCACTGTCGAGTGAAATACGGCTGCGTCCTCGACGACCGCAAAGGGGGTGGGGTCCTCGGCTGCGGCAACAAACATACGAAAAGCTCTCCGAAACTGCGCAACCAACCAGCAGCACGGGGTGTGGAGTCTAGCACTGAGGATTCCCCGCTTCGGCTGCAGGTGCCTCAAGCCTGAACCGTATGCGTCGAGCATAAAGCTCTCGAAGCAAGCCTTCAAGACTCAACAACATCGAAATTCTCGTGCCTAAGCCATCATACCTTCCTCTTATAAACTACAAGCCCCAAAAATTCCCAATACAAACGGCAAATCCAATGTCCGATAATCCGATTAGTTCCTGCAACCCGAGCATGTTGTCTCCATGGGGCCATAATCCGATGGATAGGCAATGGAGCCCCCTCGGCTGCAATGTCGGTGTCGAGAAAGAGATGTTCGCCCTGCGTAGAATGGGGTGTTGCCGGTGCTGGCAGAAGGGAGAAAATCGGTCAATCCAAAAGAGTAGAAGTTTACGAAACTCAAGTCTTGGCAATATAACTGGTCTCTGCACCTGATGCGTTAGACTGCGCTTTACCTCCCACCAAAGTCTAGCCTGACGTCACAAATCACGCGCAAGGCATGAGGGAAATCATGGTAATGTCGGTTAGGGCACAGCAGTGGATGGAATTTAAATACCTGTATATGTACGTACGTGTGTATATATATATATGTGTGTATATATATATATACATATCTATATAAGCGTTGATCAATATTCCTGTTTCTGGGAATGGTTTCTTCGCGAATTATTGCTTTCCTTTCGCAGGACTTTCGCCCGCACTTTCGCGTGACATGTTTGAGGTGGTGGTGGTGGTGGTAGTCTGGTAGTAGTAGTAGTGGTAGCAGCACTGCCTTCAAGCGACCCGGCTTCTTTCGCGGCGTCTTTCGCGCATCTTTATCGGATCTTTCACGCTAAACCCACTATGATTTCCCAAAAGATATCGCGGCATAGCGGGACAGCGAGCTTGAGACCTGCATGCCTACGGACTGGTACAGCATATACCTTGCCTTACAAGTCCTATACGGCAAATCCATTCCACAACAACTTTCGCGGATTATTGCTTTCCTTTCGCGGACCCATCGCGGATCTTTCGCGGACACACTACTTTACATGTTAAAACCGTTTTATATAATCTCCGCACAAGGACCTTTAGATCAATGCTCATATATGTATGTATGTATGTATGTATGTATGTATATATATATATGTATACACATATACATATATAACAGGAGAGAGTCACTGAAAAAGCCTTGCAACAGTGTTGAAGAATGCTAGGACCTAGGAGCTTATCCCCCGAGTGGCTTGCGCAGCGAAACCATTGCATCCACTTTCTTGGCCCGTCTCAATCTTCCAGACCTCTAAACAAAAGCAGAACTCTGGACGAAACTATGCGAACTCGTCTCGCGGATGCCATGCTTTCCATGTGCCTGGGCAGCAAAGCTCGAGAAAGGCCTGGAAGGATTGACCAACGTCTCCTGCCAAAGGTAAGAGGGATTGTCAGGACTGGAAGGCAGGCATGAGAAACGAGCAGGGAAGGGAAATAGCCCTAAACCCCGTTGTAGCCCCTGAGGGCCGTCAGCTAGGACTTGCAGAAAACAAGATTTGGGGAGCTACAGCTGTTGAGAAACCCATGTGCTAAGCTTTGAACCTGCTGGGAAAATAGCTGCTGCCCAGCTTTTTCGCATCGCGAGCTCCAACGATAAACTTCGACGACGCGCCTACAACCCTGAAAGGTGCAAGGTTCAGGATCAGCTGTACATACACAGCAGCTGTGAGAATGATTTGGGAGCCGCCTGCTCCGTGAACTGCCGCGAAAGCGAAGTGTCGTTGCGGTACTGGCCGAAGTATTGGTAACATCAAAAGCCTTTATGATCACCTTCATGTCGCAGTCCTCGCCCTCTTGTCAGGAGACCGTGGTCGTGCTCATCTTTGACATATTGTTTCTTCCGCACCTGCTCCATGTCATACCCATTCGTAACCCTGCGCTTCTTCGGGCGGCGGCTTCGGCCTGCGCCGGTGTAGAAAAGGATGAAGGCTCCGGCGGCTCCGGCCATTCCTCTGCCACTGTGCACCTGGCCTTCTCAATTCTCTTGTCTAGGCGTTCGAAGTGGATAAGATTGCTGCTGGTGCACAGGTCCTTGCAGGACGGGCCTCTTATAACCCATGGTCCAGCGCTGGACTGCAACAGGAAGAGCTGCGGCAGCTTCCAGCGCTTGAAGCAAGGGCTGCCTTTGTGCTGGCCAAAGTATTGATAGCTCCCCGACAAGTCTTTCAGCTGTTTTCGGAAAGTGAAGGTGAAAACCAAGGCTCCTGAGGCTGAAGCGAATCTGTTTTTCACCTCTTGAGGTTTGGTTTGCAGCACGTGCAAGGGAGCGGTCACAGTCTCAGACCCCAGTTGCCAATCTTTGAGGTCTTTTGAGCTGGCGATTGGCACCTTCGGCTGCGCAGCACTGCTCAGGACCCAGATCTGCTCTGGTGACCGGAAGAACAAGAGCTGCTCTCTGCGGTCGCTGCGCCAGTATCTCACCCCATTGGCATCGGTAAGGGCAACGAAATACTCCTGAAACAATTCCCGTTGCTCATGTTCCTGCGGGAATGTGGTCTTGAGTCTTCACAGTCTTCACCGCTTTTTCTGAGATCTTCGCCACTGCAGGATTGTCCATGCGATTCATGGCAACGGAGTTCGCGACTTCACCGTTTAGAGATGTTTAGAGGCTCTGTGCTATAGAGTTTGGGTTCGGTTTCAGGACTCCTGGCTTCATAAATAAACTAAGGGTGTTACGAGGGGGTTTTGACTCATAATCTCACTTGCTTCCATGGATCGGCCCCATGCTGCTTGCTTGTTGCTTTGGTTCTCGAGTGTGGTAGCGTGGTACCAGCAAGACTCCGCAGCTGTGGTCCTTTATGCCATCTTCGTTTCGACAAGACACGGCGGTGTAACTGTCGTCGATTGTGGAGCTGAGTTAACACACGAAAGCTATGGATGGTTGCACTGGCGCTTCTTACGAGCTTCGGGCTGCGCCGGTGTAGAAGAGGATGCAGAACACTGTGCAGCTGGCCTTCTCCAAGCTCTTGTCTGGACATTCGAAGTGGAGTTGCTAGCGCACAGATCCTCGCGGGACGCGCCTCGCATAACCCATAGTCCATCGCCGGACTTCAACAGGAAGAGCTGCGGCAGCTTCCAGCGCTTGAAGCCAGGGCTGTCTCTGCGCTGGTTGAAGTATTCATAGCATCCTGACAAGTATTTCAGCTGTTGCGGGAAGGTGAAAATACAAAGTACCACACCTGAAGTGGATTTGGGCTCCTTGAGCTCTCGTCCGCAGCACTTGTCTTGGCGCAGTCACAGTGCCAGTACCCACTACCCATTCCTTGAGGTCCTCTGAAGTGGCAAGCGGAAACATCCGCCGCTTGCTTCTCCTTCACACGGAAGTAAAGGTGCTGAGAGGGCTTTTTGATCCACCAGTATCCCGGCTCATCGGGAACATCGGGACCGCCGGGAACGAAGTACTCCTGAAACAACCCGAGCTGCTGATGTTCTTGGGCGAACGTGGTCTTGACAACTTTCTCTGCGAGCTGTGCCACTGTCGGATCATCCAGATGGTGCTTCATGGCGAGGCTGCCATCACGCTCGCACTGCATACAGCACTTTGTTCTTGGCATAGTGCGCGTTGCATCTGCCGCGCTGAAGCCTTTCATGTCAAGCTCCTTCCTGGCAGTCATCACCGCACTGGTCCACTTCTGCCAAGCTTCCGGAATAGCCAGCTTGCCACCGCCAAAGTGTTCTAGTTCACTCACCCTTGCATACGAAGCCTCTGCAGTAGAACCTCAAGACCCAACTCATCTTGCCTTGCAGTACATGTTTTTCATGAGGTGCGACTTTTCGAGGCCTGTCGAGATCTTCGCCACCCACCTAATGAACAGCTGCGGATCAAGCAAGGTTACAAGAAAGGCCGGCTGAACAAGAGCCTGTCTTGCATTGGCCGGCCTTCATTGTCGTGACGGCCTTGGCCTTTTATGGCCATGGATTCATGTTTCCAAAGTCTCCACGCTTTTCACAGCATCCACGGTGGTGCAGTGATGGAGCGATGCACACTGAACTGTAAAAGGCTCAAGTGGGCACCTACCCGGTGCTGTTGAGAGCTCAATATGCTTCGGACCCAAACCCGGAGAACTGAGGCATGATGTCCTGCCACGGAAGTTGTCGTGAGATCACAAGAAGGAAGCTGTAGCGGTAGATCGGCAAATCTGCATGTTTCACTACCTTCCTGACAGTTTTCATCATTGGGAACGCCATGGCTTAGAAGCGAGCACGCGCAGTCGCAGAGGATGCTGGGCAAGGACGGGCAAGGAGGCTGGAGCCCGAGTTCTCATGACCGCGTCTGCGAAACCACACGCCTGACAACATCCCCATAGCCCACAGCCAAAGCAAGACTCTTGATGAAAGTCTCAGTTTACGACATCAGCACTCCGAAGCCGAAGTGCGCGTCTCTGGCGAAGATCCCAGAACCCGAACCTCGCGGCCTTCCCGAAGGCAAGATCTCCGAAGTTTCAGGTTTGGCGCGGGGGCGTGAAGCTGGACAATACGAAGAGACTCATGCCCAAAATAAAACTGCTAGGTCGTGCGGGACATCTCCACAGCGCAAAACAACCTGCAGCTGAAGTCACTTTTAATTACCCGACATTTCTCTCCCCGGCGACCCTAGACACTGAGAACACACACCCCACGACCTTAAAGGCCCAATACTAACCTCCTTCCCGGACTAATCAGAGGAAGTCCAGCTGGCTCCGCGAGATTATGCCGAGGCAAGGCCCCGAATCATCCTGCAACGATGCGAGTTCTCTAAGGCCTAGGATCAACGACTTGTGATTCAGAGTTGCGGGTTCAGGGTCCTAGCTCAGGTTTCAGACTCTGTCTGATGACGATACGAAGAACAACAGTCAAAATAAAAGGTAGCGTACTGGTAGTGGCAGCGGTAGCGGTAGTGGTCGTGGTCATTGTCGTTGTAGTGGTAGCAGTAGCAGCACCAGTAGGAGTGGCAGTAGCAGTGGCAGTGGCAGTTGCAGTAGCAGTGGGAGTAGTACTACTAGGTGGTAGTAGTAGTAGTAGT